TTCTCTTTATCTTTCAAAGGTTGTGTGAACTGAAAATCAATTTAATGTACAGAAACCTTAGGCTTTTGAATTTGAGTAATTTCTCAAACCTGAGATCTGAGTTGTCCCAAGTTTCCTCCTTTTAAGATATTTTTCATTGCTTATCTTTGCTACAATAAACATCTGTTGGTAACCATGGAGTTTGCTTGGATCTTTATTTAAAATCTATTTCTGGCAATGCTAACCTGTGGAGCATGAGTCGAGTCATGACATGCCGAGAGGATGAACTCCAGAATTGTTCTCTTTAGGCATCTACAGGTCCTGCAAGGTTTTTTGTTACTCACAGGGTCCGCAAGTTTGACAGATCAAAGCATATATTCATTATGTTTTTCATTTTGCTCAAGATGTCTATCTCTTTCCCGCCGGCAATGATGTCGGATTATGACACTGATAAGCTTGGTCCTCCATTTGATGTTTTAGGCATCGGTCAAAACTCGAGCCTTCTGAAACCTTGAAAAGTCTGAAGCAGGCAACTCATTTTAGTTATCGCCGTATAGTTTAATGCTAAAATTGTATGATTAAATTAGTTGAAGTGATCAATCAATCATAGAGTCTTGGCAAACATATCAAAAGGAAAGGCAATAAACTTTTTCAAGAAAGGAGAAAAGCAAGTCTTTTATGGACTGGATTCTAATGTTTTCCCTTTGTAAAAGGGATTAGACAAAGTAATGCCCACAAAAGCAGTCATTTCATGTCAAAACATTGATCTTATACATTTATTCTTTGACCTTCAACTTTCAGCCCTTTTGAGGTCTGTTTTCTTTTCCCTCGAGTGCTTTCTCCCTTTTGGTTATTTTAAAGGGACGACAACAGATCATCCTATGCGACTCAAACTCGACAATGAATATTAGATACATGTCCGACATGGATATAAAGATATTCTCTTATACTTCATATTCAAATATAGACAAGTGTCAAATGCATAATAAAAAGTTGAAACAACATACCTTAGCAATCTCTTCACCAGCCATACATGTTATATTGGGATTGAGCAGACATGAATGGAAAAGTAGATTTAATATAAAAGTTAGCTAAGTCAAGTAATGATGGTTTGCATGCATTCATGCTCTTATTATTATTACTTCTTCTGTAGCATATCTCTGTCGTGAAGCGGCTTAAAAGCCATATATTCTGCATGCACAAAGCTTTTTGTAGTGGAGCCAAATCAAAGTGGATCCCTTGGCTTGAACGGTGTAGAAATGGCATAGGAACAAAATGAAATGTAAAAGTAGAAACTACATGATTGAAAACCCACAAAGGCACAACAAGGACTGATTTTACTTCTTTTAATGCAAAGGTGGTTTAGCTTTCTAAGACAAGGGACTAGTCAAAGAAATGGACACCCTTTGTAAACAGCTAATTGAGACATAGCTCTTCTACCTATGCAACTAGTGCTATCAATTCAATTTCAAGGCTAACTTGCGCGAGTAGTCTCATTCCATTGGATTGTTTATTGTGAACCTTATAATATATATGCAGATTTCATACTGTATTATGTTGCAATTAATGCAGAGTTTGGATGTTTCCTTCTAGCTCTGGCCATCTTTCTTGATGGGTTTAGAAAATTTTGTCAACATTTAATGATGTTTCAGTGAACTTTTATTCTCCACTAGGGGGCACCATTGATATTACCATGGCTGCAGCGGATTGGCGGGGTTCCGATTCGAATTTGCCCTTTCGATTCATGGAAGCAACACACAAGCGCTCCAGCAGGTAGCTCTCTGGTTTCTTAGAAGTTATGTGATTGAGCTAGTTGACTCTATTATCAGCTGGTAATGGTTGGTATATATTTTTGTTTTGATAGTTATCCATCTCATAACACAATAAAGAGCCATGTTGAAGCAAAGGAGAATACCAATCTCGAAGTTCGGAACTCTTTAAAGCAAGAGGTAAATTTTGCCATATCTGCAAAGCTTATACAGGTTTGGGATATATATACAAAGCTAAGCTACAATAGTAACATCTTTTCGAGCAGCATCTACGCCTTCGGGATCGATTGCAGGACCAATTTGCGGCTCGGCATGCATTAGACAAGGCATTAAGTCATAGACCTTTTACCGACTTTTATGTTCCATGTTTTTGCAGAATAATTACATTATAAATAACTTGTTGCATCAGTTAATGAGTTCATTCATGTAAATTCCAGGGTGCTAAGGATATTTTAAAGGACATTGCAGTTTTAGAATTGGAAATTGCCTACTTGGAGAAGTATCTGCTCTCGTTGTACCGTAAAACTTTCAATCGACGATTCTTGTGTTTGAATACCATAGAGGAGAATCCGAAACCAAATTCAGTGGCGCAAAAAGAAACGTTTCCTGAGGTTCTGGAAGGTGATATTATGTCAGAGAAAGAAAATCCACCAAAGAAATTCATTGATGTTTGGGGAACTAAGAGAGTGTTAGATTCTAGCATTTTTCGGAGCCATTCTACGCTCTCTCGGGGATCGGCATATTCGGTTACTTCTCCAAAAAAGAATGCTGATAACTCTGTAGATTTATACCATTCTCTTCCTTTGTCCATGTTGGAGGTAATCCGTGTCCATGTCAATTCAGTTGTATATTCCTTCTGGTTTCTGATTTTCCTTGCTTTCATTCGATTTTCCAGAAGGCTCAGATGAATACCTCGAATGGACTAACCTTGGCAGACCATTTCGTTTCCGATCGTATTCCCAAAACTCCGAACCAGCTTTCCGAGGAGATGATCAAGGCCATTTCAACCATATATTGTGAACTTGCAGACCCACCTTTGAATAACCATAACTTTTCTTCTCCTATGTCTTATTTATCATCAGTTGATGATATGTGGAGCACCCCACGGTGTGGGAAATTTTCATCCTTGAACTTCCACATCGATAGCCCTTTTAACATTGCGAAGTCGAAGGAATCCAGCGGACCGACCTTCGAAATGGTTAAGGTTCAAGGGATTTGCAGGGACAGCAAAAGGTTACAAGATATTGAACATAAGCTGCAATATTACAGGTCACTTGTTTATCAGCTGGAAGAAGTTGATGTTAGAAGGATGGAACATGAGGAAAAGCTAGCTTTCTGGATCAATGTACACAATTCTCTGGTGATGCATGTAATGTTCCACATATCAATCTTCATTTTATTTAATTTCCGAGTAAGACCCTAAAAAAATACCGACTTTACTTTGTTCATACAGGCATATTTGGTCTATGGTATTCCGAAAAACAATCTGAAGAGATTGTCTTTGTTACTCAAGGTGAGCTTTTCTGATTACTTCAACAAAGGATTATGCAATACATGCTTGCATTTGACAATCCTATGGATGATGATGATGATAATGATAAAGCAGGCTGCATATAATGTTGGTGGCCATACCATAAGCATAGACACCTTACAGTGTTCAATACTTGGGTGCCGGTCACCTCGTCCTGGACAGGTAAAATCCAGTTGTTGGCAAATTTTCGAGCAGAAGTATAATAATCAACACGAGATCAACATAAAACTTTCATCTGCTTGCAGTGGCTACGGTTTCTTTTTCCTTCGAAGACGAAATTTAGGGTCGGTGATCGTCGAAGAGACCATGCAATCGAGTCCCGAGAACCTCTCCTGCATTTTGCACTTAGTTCGGGAAGCCATTCGGACCCCGTGGTACACTTTTTGGAATAACTTATTGGGGACTAAATAAATTCTCGATATTCTTTTTGTCAAGACTTATTGATTTATTTTGATCTAGGTCCGAATATACACACCGAAAGAAGTGTTCCATGAACTTGAAGTAGCAAAACAAGAGTACATCCAAGCAAATTATAGTGTCAACAAGGAGCAAAACATAATGTTACCAAAGATTATGGAGTATTTTGCAAAAGATTCAGATGTTTGTTCAGCTGGTTTACTGCAAATGGTCGAGCAATGTATGCCTGGTGCACTGAAGAACATTCAGCAATCATGCAATAGGAAAAATGGGAAAATTATCGAATGGGTCCCTCACAATTTTGCATTCCAATATCTATTTCCAAAAGAACTAGCTTAGTGATATAGGGTATATCTAGCCCTGTGAAATTCATTACATCCTACATTGTTATAGTCTATGAATGATGGCGCTAAAATGAGGTTGATTTTGAGTCGTTATCAAACTCGGAATTTAGTTCTTATACTTTAATTTGACATAATTTGATCTCAAAACCGTTAATTATCATGATTAAAATATTGACATGAATTTTTATTAAAAAATTGTTCCAACTCATCATGTTGACATAAATTAATTAGTGCTGAAAATGAGTTTTTTTATGACAAATTTAGGGGAAATGATTAAAAAAAAGGAAATTTTGGATCTAAGAAAATTATTTAGGGATTTGGGGTGAATTATGGTAGCTTTCAAATTTATTTGCTCCATTATAAAAGAACTAAAGTCGACGATAACTACCAATGATATTGAGAGTAAGTGGCACTTGTTGACAACTTTGAAGATATGTGAGTCCGCTGTTCAACTCCGTAAAGCCGGCAGAGTAACGGTGAGAGAGACGACTTCGAAGAAACTAGGGGGCACCCACTTCAAATACGGTGTAGCCGATGAACATTTCGAGGTGACGAAATTCGCTCTGTTGGAGAGCATAAAGGAAGCAGTTCCGGAAATGTTGTCGGCGGAGATGAAGAATGCATGGGGTACGCTTATGATTGTTTGGTAGCGGCCATCAAAACTGAGATCGTGGCCTGCTCTCAAGCTTAAAGTGGTTCTTAGTTTAGGTTCGATTAAGTTTCGAGTTAACAATTCATAGATGATTGGAGAAGATTTATGTACACAATTCAAATGAGAAATGACCCACTAGATTTTGAGTCAACATGATGGAAGGAAAATGATCACAAGATGAGTTAAAAAGATAGTAGACATGCTCAAGGGTCGGATTTTCCGAGAGAACTTAAACAAAACTTCGATCATTATATAAACGGATCTAAAGAAACTTAGAATAACCAATTATCAAAATCTAAATACTAACAAGATAACCAGATAAATGTATATTCAAGTAGATATGACAAGTTTCATTTCTTAAATACAAGACTAACAGGCAAGAACACAAAAAACCTATTGTGATTGCACTTCGGCCTCGTACTAAAGCAAGAATGAACACGGAACTTGCATACTCCTTTATGTTCTAATCAAATTCTCTCCTTGTAAACCCACTGCACCATATAAGGAGGAAAAATCAGCAACAAACTATACAAAACAACCTCTCGAATGCAGTAGATGAGGGACACAAGCTAAGGGCTTTAACAATAATTCATCGTCTAAAAGATAAGTCAAGTGTGGCTACTATATCATTCACATAATTACCATATGAAGCAAAATCTGTTTTGCCAACCACTAAATTCAAATCGAAGGCATTGATTTTTGGTGCACTCAACTGATAATATTATGCAACAATCAGAGTAGAGGTGAAATAACAGGACTCTATTGAATGGCACCATAGAAGTTGTCATCAATGCAGGCTTGTAATCATTAGCAACCAACACAAAGAAACTAATTTCAATAACGATATCATTAGGGACAAAAGAAATGAAAATGGGGATTTGTTTACAGCTATGCAGGTTTACCAAATAACCAGTTGTCATGCTATTTGGCAAGGGAAAGGCACTAAGGCACACGCATGTAAATGGATAGTGATACAAAGAACGGCTTTCGCTATTATAACACACTCGACTTGTAACGAGACTGTAATAGCAACTTTTAAGGAAATCAAACAGATTGGTGTACCCCGACGACGATCGTGATAAAATTAAATCATTCCAAGCCAATGAATATACTCCAAAATATTAAACAAAAATGACAATCAGGGAATTGAAAGTGTCTTTTGAAGGCAATCATACTCCACCTATAGGACAAGGCATCCTGGTCGAGCTTACTATGCAGTGACCAACCCACATACAGGTTGGGAATAGCAATTTAGGTCCCTCTTAGTTTAAATGTTAGTCAAATTAGGTCCTGACCCCTGTTTAGGTTCAAATACTTAATAGGTCCTTGATCTATTGAAGTGAAGCAATTTGGCCCCTCCCAATGTTCTTCCAATGGACAAAAAAATGTCATAAAAATAGCCATATCCAAAACGTCTCCTTCCACTTTCCATCACCCAGATTATCTCCTAAACGTGTCTTAAGCATACAAACCCTATCTTGGGCAAACGCAAGAATTGATATTTAACCCAGATAGTAACAATTCGTAGCAGTAAAAACCCAGATAGAAAACAATACTCAGTCCCCAAAATTGGGCTGAGTCGAAGTCTTTAAATTACCTGACTCTAGAACTCGAGCTTTAGCTCATCTTTTTCATCAGAGAGGTAATGAAGAATGTAAGGGGTGACACGAACCACGGCTACCCAGACCCCAAACATAGCCACGTGTGCCTTCAGCTGCTTCAAGGCCGCCGCCTTGTCGGGTTTGCGCATAAACATTCCTGGGAACATCGCTGCTTCTGTTTGAGTTGTGCTGTGCTTTTTTATTAGAGTCTGGGTCGATGGAGGCAGAAGCTTAAACCCTAGCCGCGATGGGGGTTTAGCTACTATATAGAGGAAGCATATGGCCTTTGACTATTTTGCCCTTCAAGTTTTCTGCTATTTTATATCCACGTGTATATTCGGATTAATTCAGCTCCAAAGTGAAAGATTAAAGATAATTAATTATAACTCAACTAACAAGATTTATTCAATTAATAATCAACTTGATATTGTTTAAAAATGTGCATGTATAAAATTTTCGTTGAAAAATTCACTCACTAAAATTAAATACGAGAAAATAATAGACTGCCGGAGGTCTTCCATGGAAATTGCTCTCAACCTGGCATTGGGGGCAACCTACTACCTTACATCTCCTCACCTCATTATATATGGGAATAGGGTCAACTAATGTATATTTTATATGATTTTGATTATTGTAATAACAAATTTAATCTTTAATAATTATATATTACATTAATTTGATTTTTAAAAAATCAGATAAATTTAACCATGAACATGTGTAGAACATAAAAAAATCATATAGTATACAAATATTAAAGATTAAATTTATTATTCAAATCAGATAAATTCGATTTTAGATTTTATCGAGTTTGAATTTTTTTTATATTCAAATTCTGTTAGGCTGAATTTTTTTCAAAATCAATTTTATTTTTCAAATTCAAACTTTTCTAAATTTAATTTTTTAAAGATTTATATAGTTAGAGATTTAAATTAATAATGACAGAGTCGAACATGTTTGATCAATTTTACTATTTAATATAACCATCGAGCAACACTAAACCCTAAATCTAAATTATTCAAAAAATCATTCTCTTTCTACTCGAAGCTTCTGTAGGTTTGAAGAAGAATCAATTTTGGTCTCGAATCATCATTCTTTTTCAATTAAAAAACGACCATCAAGTTCTAATTATGTATATTATCCTTGATGTTGTCTTCTTTCTTATTAAAGATTCTAATTGCTTATGCAAGTCTTTGAATCCAAAAGTGATCTTCCAAATATAATATATGTAAATGGAGAGGTATGAGGTGAGTGCCCCGTGTTATGATGTATAATTTTTTTCAACTATCCATATTTAATTTATTAATTTAAATTAAATATTATAAAGTGATTCTCTTAATTTCGTTTGTTCAATTTATTAATATTAAATTTAGAGAAAATCGCCTCAGTGACCAAAAAAAAGTTATAATATACGATTTTAACCAACTTTTTTGGATTTGCCAAAATGACCAACAAATTCGCAACGCGAAATAAAAATCGCAACGCGATCCCAGAATCGCAAATCAGTTTCCAAAATCGCAACGCGATTCTTGAAAATCGCGATGCGATAGTACAAATTCGCATTGCGATTTTCCATAATCGCAACGCGAATATGAAAATCGCAACGCGAACACGTAAATCGCAACGCGTATCCGTAAATCGCAACGTGTATCGTAAATCGCAACGCGTATGGGTAAATCGCAATGCGTATCGTATATCGCAACGCGTATCCGTAAATCGCAACGCGTATCCGTAAACCGCAACGTGTATCCGTAAATCGCAACGCGTATCCGTAAATCGCAATGCGTATCCGTAAATCGCAACGGTATCCGTAAATCGCAACGATAATCCGTAAATCGCAACGCGTATCCGTAAATCGCAACGATAATCCGTAAATCGCAACGAGAATCTGTAAATCGCAACGATAATCCGTAAATCGCAACGAGAATCTGTAAATCACAACACTGAAATTTTGGGTATATAACACTGAAATCATAAACTAAATCCCTAAATCGCAACTCATTCCATCTCCATCTATCACTCTCTCCGGCGACATCCGTTCCTATATCCAACGACATCCTTCCCAATCCGGCAACAGGTTTTAGTTTCGCAGCTCGTCTGTTTAGTAAATTAATTTACAACCATGAAATCATCTAATGTTGATCATGTTTGGATAGATTTGTGTTTTGGAGGGTCATGGGATAATGTTCATGGTGTTTTACAATATATGCCTTTACCCATGAATCTTCAACTAAAATTGTCTTTACAAAAGTTAACTTATGAAACTCTAATGCTACGTGTTTCAAATAAATTGAATTTAGAGCCCCTAAGTGGATTTAGGCTATCTTATCAGAGAAATGGTAAAGTTTATTTGTTAACCGACAATGAAGATGTTGAACGATTCATTGCTTACATTAGTGTTTCACAAGATGATGTTACATTGTATGTTGTTGAACCTAGAAGTAGTATTGTTGGGTCAGTAGCGGGTAGTAATCAACTAAGTTTTTCTCAAAACCACAACCTTTCTCTAATCCAAATCCCAATCAACTTTCAGCACCAAATTCCGGTTTTCGTATTGACAGTTAGACGATGATGAGCCAACAGAAAAAATTGTGAGTACTAGTCAGTATTCGAAATTTGGTCTTGGTCAATATCCGGACTTTGATATTGGTCAATACACGGATTTTGATGATGTTTCAGAAGAAGAAACAGACCATGCGTGTAATGATATTGATATGGTCAATACCCGAATTTTGATGATGAAACAGCCGTTGCCGAAGAATGTAATGTTGATGATAATGAGGAGGAAGTTACGACTGTGAATGAACATGTTGAACATCCATTCTGTAATTCATATAATCCTGAAGAAGAAAAAGTCCCCGAAGAAAGAAAATGCCACGGGCGTATAACTGGAATATGCCAGAATTACTTCAGATACCGGAAGAAGAGTTGATAAAGAAAGCAGTTGATTGTTACACAAAAGTTATTCGTATCAAGAAAGATGATTGTTTGATACAAAGGAAGACTTGAAGATAGCTTTATATACGAAATGTGTGGAAGATGGCTATCAACTAAAAGTTAACAAATCAAGCAAAGATCGTTTCGAAACAAGGTGTATGATTGACAAAAACTGTACGTGGCGTATGATTGCAAAGAGAATAAAAAGATTGCAAAATGTTTCAAGTTAGGACTTTTATTGATAAACATACATGTTCAAGAACCCAAGTTTTTCCTCACCATAGACAGGCAAACAAAAAGGTGTTGGGTGGTTTCTGGCTGAGTTAATGTTTTTGAATGGCAGGGTATCGGGGACATGAAATTATGACTGACATGAATGCTCGGTTCAAGATTAGTATATCATATTCTCAAGCTTGGAGAGCCAAATGTTATGCCTTGGAATTGTTGAGGGGGTCGCCAGAAGCATCGTTTGCCCAACTGCCGGCTTATTGTCACAATTTAAAGCTGAAAAATCCTGGGTCGGTAACTCATATCAAAACAGATAGAGATGGACGCTTTGAGTTGCTGTTTATCGCCATTGGTGCTACGGTTAGTAAATCAATATAATTTTGTTGACTCATTTTTGTTAGTTACATGCATTTCACATTTAAATGATTATATTTCTTGTGTATATTATTTTGTAGATTCGTTCGTTTATTACTTGCATGCGCCCAGTTATTATAGTTGACGGAGCACATTTGAAAGGTCGATACCTTGGAGTAAACTTATTAGCAGTAGCCATGGATGCTAACAATGGGATATTGCCAATAGCTTACGGGGTTGGCAAATCTGAAACCTCTGATTCATGGACATGGTTTATGGGGCATCTTAGGGATTGCATAGGTCCTATTAGCAATCTGACAATCATATCCGATAGGGCAACTCAATTGACAACGCTGTTAGAAGGTGTTTCCCAGATGCTTTTCATGGACTTTGTGGTGTTCATTTGTATAGAAATCTAAAATCAAGGTCTGCTGGTATAAAAAAGCACAAATGGACATACTGGAAGGCTGTAAAAGCTTATCGGGAAGTGGATTTCAATAAGCATATAAATTGTTTAAGAGTGTTTTGCCTCAGTGTGCTCAAACACTAGAAGATGTCGGGTTTGAAAGATGGTCAAGAGTATATCAACTTGGAGCAAGATATGGTTTCATGACGTCTAATAGTGCAGAATCAATCAACGCTCTAAGTCGTCATTCCCGGAAATTACCCATTACTATGTTAATGGAGTTTTTTCGAGCCTCTATTCAACAGTGGTACTACAAGAAAAGAAACCATGCAGGTATTATTTCTTTGAATTCGTAACTTATCATATTTATATTTTTACTAAGTATTGTTTATTTAAATTTACAGGAACATTGGAACATCGTGTTACACCATGGA